TTCTATATAATTTGAAATATTTTTGTACCAGCAAGAGTTACCTCTCTTTATATTCTGCTTTCGTGAAATTGGCTCCGCCTATTAATTTTCGTCTATTTCCGTGATAATTCCATATATGGAAGTTGCAAAATCGTTTACAAATGTTAATCGCGTTAGAATGTAAAAGGAAAGTGTGGTGTTGTAAACCTGAGTGTGTCAAGTTGATGCAGTTACATTCTCAACGTCATGATGCACAGCATTAAACGTATTGTGTACGTTCTATCGTTTACATTTCTACATGTTGCAAATTTGAAATTATACATTTATAAATACAGTTTGCAATTTATCTAAGTTGCATGTTAACAGCTTTCATTTTATCAAATCGAGATAATCAAAATGCTTAATACCAGTGCAGTATGTAACTCTCGGATCGACAAATAGATTTTTACTTATATGTTTAGTAGAACCGAAGTATGCATTGTCAAGTTTCAAAGGCTGGATTTTTGGCAACGAATAGCCTCTATACATGTCGTACCCACCAGATTGTTGAACTCTCTGAGCATACAAAGGACCTGCGATAGGCATTGACATGTCCAACATTGACGCACCTCTTATTGAATCTCCGATTTGGGTCGGCAATCCGGCTTGAAGATTGTTGTTATAAGCATTACTTGTTTACGGTCGCCGAAGCTGTAACTGTGTCAGATTCTGGTTCACAGAAGATATGTTAGGGGGGATTTGTGGCTGTGGCTATGTGAACGGTTGTTGTGTCTGCATCCGAAGCTCAGCGCTTAAACGGGAGTAGCCTTTGCGTAAGCTGAAATGTATCCTGGTAGAAATTGTCTAGTACAGAAGTGTGAAACGACTCAGCCATTGCGCCGACCAAACAACCCCACAGATGTTGAGCAGAAATTTGTGCAGGAGACAATATACTTTTGATTTGAGTCTGGTGACGGGTATTTTCATGCTGTTGCTTTGTCAGAGTAGTAATTAGTGTTTCATGGTCCTTTGATTGTCGACCAGATCTGTTGGACTTGCTCTTTGTGCTCTTGGTAACGGGTTTTGAATCTAGAGCATTTATTAATCTTTGCAATTAATCTACACAAATTAAAATATCTGTAACGACCAAAACGTGTCTAAGAACTGTGAAAAAACGCGAAAACCACTGAATTTATGGTAACGCGGAGGAATACACCTCAATTCGTTGACTCAGAAAACGAAAGGGTCAAATAGAATGACAAACTAATTTTAAAAACATATAAACTATATATAGACAATAAACAAGCATTATCATTGATAATTTTAAATGTAAGTCTCATTCCTTTAATAACAATGTCATAACTTAACTCCGTAAATACAGAAATATTATACAGCCTCATCATATCTATAGATATAAATGTATGTAACATTAATAATTCCCAATATCTATATAATACATATGAAATCCTATTAATATTGGTACATGGATGGAACTCAAAATCTAGTAGAAAGAAAACTATAATGTATAGTATAAAAGTAAAAATAAAATCTCACCTAGTCTATATCATATGAAGATTGTGTTGTGTCTAAGCATTACATGAATACTTGTATCTCTTACAGTAACAAATATTGTCCCTCTTAGACTTTATTTTTACAACTAACTGTATATGCATAATTTGTTTAAAATTAATAACTTATTGATGTTATCCTTTCTCTGTTTCAATATTACATGGACATAAGCACCTATATGCATAGCTTGAATTGTCTACCTTTCATTTTTAACACATGTTATTTTATTAACAATTTTTTACAAACAAATAGAAACTGATTAACTACACATTCTTGAAGGAAAATTAAAAATATATATAATTAAAAAATATAGCCTCTCTTTGACCTCACAAACCACTGTAAACTGCTGACGAAAAAGAGAGCACATAGCAGTATTAACTAAAATGAATCAACAGTAAATATATACCATAAAAAACTAAATCCAAGATAAATAATAAATAAAAATAAAATGAAACTACCAGTGTATACCAAAATTCCGAAATTTCAGTCTGGCTTTAACATTTGGTATTACCAATAAAGGTACGGCTTAGAAAAGTTGTTGAACAGAGTCCGCCATTTTATAAAGATAAATATCACAATGCACATGTTTTCTCAAATAAAGTTATTGAATACAAATATAACAACATATTTGTTAACATCAAAATAAAACTAATAACACAACATGATAAATGAGCCGTGTCACGACAAAACCAACATAATGGGTTTGCGACCAGCAAGGATCCAGACCAGCCTGCGCATCCGCGCAGTCTGATCAGGATCCATGCTGTTCGCTTAAAAACCATATAACAAGTAGAGAAACTGATAGCGAACAGCACGGATCCTGATCAGACTGCGCGGATGAGTAGGCTGGTCTGGATCCGTGCTGGTCGCAAACCCATTATGTTGGTTTTGTCGTGAAGTGTTGATAATAACATCTCTACCATGTGCCACAAAAAATCATTCCATATAAGGTCGACGCCGTTCAAGGCTAATAATCTACCTTCGAACTAATCTTTGGTATGTTTATTATACACGTGATATTTCTCGGCCAATCGCAATATATACCTGTCAACAATTTTCTAACATTATATGCTTTTTATTATGCTACATTAACATCCAAATATCTCTTCATACATTTAATATAAATTCAGGTAAATTAGATTTTTTAAAATTTCTCTTCATATTAATTTGATATACTGCAAATCATAGGTTTGAATTTTATCTTAGATAAGAGTAATAACAAAATAAGTTACGCACAACTACACGTTCATACATTTTTGAGAGCATCTATCAGATGATTTTTATAGTGTTATGTTTTTACATTGTTACTTTGTTTAAATTTTAGATCCGTATATGCGTGTGTTCACTAAATTTTATGACAACCATTAATCGAAAATACATTTATATACACATATATTTACATACATGATATATAGTTGTCGGTGAAAATGATAATGATCATATGAAATCTGCGTAGCTAGGGGGACAATTCCTCAGTGCATATAACAGTTAACTGCTGTGTGTGGAGTTGTCTCCCTTAGAAGCAAAAAAAAAGAGAATAAAGTTTCTTGTTATTCTGATTAGAATGGCTTTCCATGTTTTATGTTTTTTTTATGTTTTATATATATATATATAATTTTATGTATACATGTAAAGATGAGACTGAAATAAAAAATAAAGATACCTTTTCGAATGTGAAAAAAAAAAAAAGATGAACTGTTGTTTTGTTTATCAATGCATATATAAATATCTTTATCTCCTTACGGAAGCAACATTTTAAATTGTATATTTCCATCACCGTTGTATCTGTCTAAACAATTATGTGCACCTGGACTTTTGCATGGCATAAACACATTAGTTGTATAGTTCGGTCGATGGTCTTTTTTGTCCTGTATGCCTCCAGTGATATTAGCATGTCTGTACAACTCTTACCATATCTATTCTTAAAAGCCAAATCCAGGGTTTTCTTGGGGCATTTGACCATTTGTCCAGTAAATAAAAACTTTTGTAGGAGGATATACCACTTTTGACAAGCTTCTCACTGTCCAAATTCAGGATGACCAAGCAAAGTCACCATATTGACCTTTGTAATAAATTTCGAAAAAAATCGGCTCATGTATAATTTCACAACATTTTAGGTGAGAATTTTAACCGGTTTTAATTGGAAAGTTTTAAATCCATTTCAAGCTTGCTGACATGACATGAACAATTTTTTCAGAGAAAATCGCAAATCGTAGGTCTATGTCCCAGGGGAAGATTTTTTCCCTAAAATTTGACCAGCTCCTAACCCGGTACCTTCCTCAAATTCACATATGGTACCACTTTTTCTCACACATTTGGCATAATTTAGTTTAATACCATCACTGTATAGTTTCAATGCACAAGGTGACAATGCTTTTCGTTTGGTTCAATTGTTATCTTAACGTTTTTTCACAAACTTCTATTTTATCGTCTGACCATTTGGCGTACTGACTTTGAAAACATCTCCAACTGTTTTCAGAAAATTCTGTCCAGTTTGAAACTCGACTTAGTGCTTTTGCTATCTATAATGAAACATTAGATGTCTGGGACAAACAATTGTTTTCTCCGGTTTGACCTCGGGCAATTTCTGAGAAACCATTTCGTATATCCCCATTAACTTATCTTCAAGAACCTTTATTTTTTTCAATTAAGTATTTAGCAGTCGTTATAAAACGGACCTTTTGAATATAATCACAAAACAAAAACATTATGAAAGGGGATTCAATCATATCCCTCCATATACTTTCAAAGTGTAAATTTTCTAATACACCGACTGGGAAACATCCTTTTCCTTTCCAATGGACCATTTATTCACGAAACGCCACAACCCCAGCTATTACATTTATACTTTCTATTTTCTTCTAACTAGTTCTTTCTTAACCTAGGAATCGTTTAGGTTGAAATGTATTCAATTTTTCTTGCAACTAAAACATATGGAGTTTTTAATCTTTTATCAAACTGTTTCAGTTAGACCCCTCAGACTGATATTTAGATGAATTAATTGTCACCCCCTCGATAATTATTTACGAGATTATTCGGAAAACTTTCTATGTTGACTGCTATTAAGATAATAGCGTCTTTCATAACGCTATCGACTGAGGATAATAAAATTATCCAATAAAAAATCTGCTAATAAACTTTCGTTGCCACTTGTATTTGCTATATATTTTATAAACAGTTACCAGTTTTGTAACAGGTACACCATAAGAACAGTTGTCAGTGACAAATCCTTCATAATACATTGGGTACCCGTGTAATCCACCTTTTATAACTTTCCTCACATATATGTTTAGATTTAACACTTTGTCTTTTAATACACATTTTTAGAATCCACTTTTGATATCTTCAAAGAATATTGTTCATGATAGAAATAGCTTTATTCAGATGTAATATGAAGTCCTTAGACCCACGCACGTGTTTCTTAGCACTGTAAATGACTTTGGCAAGGGCTATAATCTTTTCTTTAGTTCCCTTTTTCTGTTAAATTGTCTAAATCGAGGTGCATAGGAAGATGTCTGACCATCCTTGAGGTTCAACATATGGCTGTTAAAATAAATAAATAAATAAATAAAATAAATAAATAAATAAATAATAGATAAAAAAAATAAATAGAACTGATTAAATAAAATAATAAATGAATAACAAAATGATTAAACATTTTTAAAATATATAAATGAATAAATAATTAAAGTAAATAGATAAATTAAAAATAAATAAATAATAAATAGATAAAATTAAATAAATAAAAAAAAAAATAAATAAATAATGAATGAAATGAATGGATGAATAGATAAATGAAACGAATGTATGAATGAATAAATATATAGATAATAAACAAATAAATAAATAAATCAAAAAATAAATAAACAAATAAATAAATGAGTAAAGTATATTTGATCAATCAAACTAAATAAATGAATAAAAATAAATCGATTAAAAATAAACAAATAAATAGATAAATAAATAAAAAATGAATGAATGAATTAATTAATGGATGGATATTAATGAATGAATGAATGAATGAATAAATAAATATATTTCAAAATAAATAAATGAATAAACAAATTAATCAAAATAAATTAAATAAATAAATAGATAAATAAATAAACAAGCAGATTATCATAGTATTGCAAGCAATCCATAAGTCCCCTACCGGTAAGACCCCATCAACATTCTGAAGGGGCCATTGGGCTATTCACTTAATGTTTCAAATTTTTCTCTATTTTAAAGTAAATTTGTTTGGAAAAGTTCTTTAAAAGTTGATCACAGGAAACAGTTTTCATGAACAGACAGACAGACAGACTGAAGACACTCTAAAGTTCATATTTGAAACATCCCTGTTACCAAAATATAACATTTTTTAAAAGCAAAATTCGTTCTTAAAGAGGAGATAACACTTGAATTAAAAAGAATGTAATTCATAAAAAATTTTCAGCTCATTTTGACTAATCACAAATAATGTTATATTTGCATGTTTTAAGCCTTATTTGTTGCCAAGGAACAACCAATATTTTTTTTTCAAAATAGGAAGAAATATAAGACATGGCATAAAATTTCCAGACTGCCATCTACCCATATTTCCAAGTTTCATAAAAATATTTCCATGTACTTTTTGACCGTTATCACTGGATTTAGTTTATGTGTAAAATTTGCCATATTTTCAGTCTAATGTGTTGCCATAGCAACCAGAATTTTCAACATAGGAAGAAAAGAAAAAGACTGCATAATCATCAGGGGACTGCCATTCTACCCATATTACAAAGTTTTATAAAAAATATTTTTATTACTTTTTGCGTTAACACTGGAAGCAGTTTATGTGTAAAATTTGCCATATTTTCAGTCTATTTGTTGCCTTAGCAACCAGAATTTTTCAACGTAGGAAGAAAACAAAAAGATGTGCATAATTTCCAGACTGCCATCTACCCATATTTTAAGTTTCATAAAAATATTTCCAGTACTTTTTGCGTTATCACTAAACCCAGTTTATGTGTAAAATTTGCCATATTTTCAGCCTATTTGTTGTCATAGCAACCAGAATTTTCAACATAGGAAGAAAAAAAGACGTGCATAATTTCCATACTGCCATCTATCTTATATCAGTTTCATAAAAATATTTTCAGTACTTTCAAGTTATCGCAGGATCCAGTTTATGGACGACTGACAAACAGACGGACGGCGTACGGACAGACGGACGGACGGAGGGTAAACCTAAAGTCCCCTCCGGTAAACCGGTAGGGACTAATCAATGATTAAAGTAAATAGAATAAATTGAAAATAAATGAATAATAAAAAAATATACATACGCATGAACGGACGGGACAATGGATGGGCGGGCGGACAAGGGTAAATTTAAATGCCCCTTATAGTGAGTGCACAATAAATAAATCAATCTTTCCCTAAAAGAAATAAATTAATAGATAAATGAATAAAATATAATAAATGTCGAGTTATTGGTTTTATTCATTTGTATTGCTTTTAAATGGCAACGATACCTAAAATACACAAAGTTATCGCCCCCCCCCCCAAAACAAAAACAAAAAACAAAACAACAAAAAAAAAAAAAAAAAAAAAAAAAAAAAAAAAAAAAAAAAAAAAAAAAAAAAAAAAAAAAAAAAAAAAAAAAAAAAAAAAAAAAAAGTAGTTTTATAGCCCCAAAATATTAAGTAGGAAAATGGCAAAAAGTGTTGGGGAATTAAGTCTTAAATATTAAATACTGGAAAACGAATTATGGTTCTTGGAGAATGTAATTTACCTAAATATAATCTACCAATGTATGAAATTTTGTTCAGGATTCAGAGAAAAATTAAATATATTAGAACTTGTTTTACTTAATTAAAGTGAATCGGTCTTTAGTGGAAGGTTTGTAAAACAAATAATAATAATAAGGTTGATAATATTTAGAATGAGACATAACAGCGAACCACGAAACAATTATACATGGAAGTTGTTGGCAAGTGTGAAATACATGATCCTATATATTTATATATGCAGCTAATAAAATGATAAACATAAAATACATATCTATTCTGTTTATCAATATTTGAAATTCTAATGAACATGTTGCCCACAGTAGACCAGTCGACCTTGGAATATAATGTGGCAATAGATTCTTGGTCATATTATTATAATGAATTTAGAAATAAATATAAATTTTTCTTACCTTTATTGTGCAATCATTATACACGAAATGTTCATGTATAACAACGAAAGAGCACAAAACAATATCATGCCAAGAAAACAGCTTCAGTCTTGAATCTATATCTTTCATTTTTGCTTTCTGAAAAGAAAGAAGAAAAAACAAGTTCATGATTGAATGTCCATTTGTCTTTATCTTACGCCATATTTAGACATTTTATCATATATTCATACTTGACATAACTTTTAAATCACATTTGTACACAAAATACATTTACACCGAAGGTATCAACAAACAGATATTTAAGGACATCGGCCAAAAATAAAATTTCGCATGAGCTTAAAATTTTTGAAAAACTAATTTTTGCACGTTCCCCTTTTTCAAATTTACCCCCTGTATTTTTATTTTCCCCAAAGTAAATTGAAAAGGGATCGGTCAATAAAATTTAAAGATGCATGTTTAAAAGTAAACAAACCCATTTTCAGCAACATTGACTCCTAAAGTTAGGGGGACCCCAAAAATTTCCCTTTTGGGGATTTTTTTTTTAATTTAAGTTTAAATTTATAACTCCATTTAAACATTGAAAACTTTCCATTAAAAATTTTTTTAAAACTAAAAATAAAAAAACATCAGGCTGTTTTGAGCATAATGTTTAAAAACTATTTAGCGCCCGTAACCTTTGGGGCCCCAAAATGACATTTTCTCAACCCAAAGGTAAAAGGACAATTCAAGGGATTTTTCTTTTTAAACAGGAAAAAGTCTAAAAATGTAAAATGTATTTCAAGCACATGTGACCTTGATCCAAGTGACGCTTTTTGTTTCATCCCAAAGATGTAAAAACACCTACAGAACGCAGGACGTTCCTTTAAACAGGAAAGACATCAGTTTGTAAATAAAGTTAACAGTAGCTAAAGTAAATCAAAGCACAGAAGGCGCTGAAATTGCTTGGGTCTCAGAATGTCAGAAAGGTGAGGGTTGTGAAATTACAGCAAAAACATGAGTTGCCTTCACTGGGATTTGAACTCCAGACCTCTAGCTTCCTAAACGAGCGTGTAAATCCCTCGACCACGGGTAAGTTATAAGATAACAGCCTGAAGAAAATCTTATTGTTCCAAATTAAGGTTTGTAACCCATATTAATTTCGAGATATTTCGTTCACGGTAAACCTGTTGCTTAACACTGATGTAAATAATCATTGAGCTTAATATATGCATGTATATATGAAAAGAATTACACAATATTAGAAATCTTCGACCAATTGGGAACTATTTTTTCTTCCCCGAGAAGGCTTGAAAAATTATGCGGCTGTCATTTGACAATCTTTACACAATAATCTCCCCTTAATCTGCCCCGGACGGACAAATAATCAATCAGTCAATCAATCAATCAATCAATCAAACAAACGGAGGGTTCAATAACTATATGCACATTGGAGAACAAAAAGCACGTCAGGTAGACAATAAATGATTTGTCATTTTCCTAGAAATATATAGGTCGCAACCTACACGGCCTATCGAAAGCTACACTCCAGCACAATATTGTGCTTGTTTTTCCCCCTCATATATGTCATAGGGAACGTGAGAGATGTTGCATTTTAAGATAAGCTCGTATAAACAAGTTCAATCAAACTGAGTCTTCAACTTTCTTATAAAAATGATGTTTTCACTGCTACATATAGTAAAATATATGTATCATAAGGTAAACTCTTGTGGAAAACATTGTAACACTTTTATGAACTTTTCGAATATGCTATAAGATTACGTCAAGGGGAGGTTATTTCACAAATTTTATTTTCGCTGTTTATTTATGATGTTCTAAGAACAATATATCAGTTGTGACCTTCAAATAAATGGCATTATACTTATGCTATTACCTTTTGCTGATGACATGGTTATTCTAGGTAATTCAGTTTCAGAGTTCAATACAATATTAAGTCTTTTACATACTTATTGTAAAAAGTGGAGCTTAGAAGTCAATGTAGAAAGGACTAAAGTGGTTGTTTTTAGGAAACGTGGTGGGTTATTTTCAGGAGAAAATTGTTTGTATAGTGCCATAAAGCTAGATGTTGTGAATGATTTTAGTTACCTCGGTGTTATTTTAATTATACTGGTACATATACTTTAAATCAAGAGCAGTTTGTTTGAAAAGCTAAGAAGGCCCTGAATATTTTACTTATAAATTGAAAGAAAAACAATTTAAAACCTAAAATCTTATGCCAGTTATTTGATTCTTTTGTAGGTTTTTATTCTTTGTCATGCATTTGAAATAAAATACGGGGTAACATTAAGTCAAAGGAAATAAAAAAGTGCATGTCAGATTTTATAAAAATATGTTAAATGTTAGGTAAACTTAATGTAATGCAGCAGGTTTGTTTTGCGGAAAACTCGGACGTTAATTCTTATTTTTTAAAAGATATGTATAAATGATAAAATATTGGTTAAAGCAGGGTCTTTCAATTTGAAAGACACTGGTTAAAGCTACTACAAACTGACAATATTATTCTGAAAGAAATATATCACATGTCTTATAATGATTGTACAAGTGGTAAACAAATGTCAAACATATGTTGTACACTTATGGCTTGATGGGTGTATGGGAGAATCAAGGTTGTATATGTTATAAATCTTTTATCTCCGAATTTTAGAGCCTCTGTTCATAAAAAGGCTTAATTAAACCGGGACTGTAGCATTCTTATTGTTCCGTTTTGTGCTCATGCTAAGGCTTTCGTTTTTTCTATTTATGTAAGGTTATTAAAATGTTAGAAATGGCTGCACTAAGTAAACATGTTCTGTTAAAATAGCATTATTAATTTGTCTACGTGACCAGGAACAATCAAGTTCAATCCCCCTAAAATATTTTATCTAGATTTCATGGATTTTCTTTTATCGTGGTTACAATAGTATGTTTAAACCTGATAACATACCTTTGATTCGACAAATGTTTTTGCAGAAACGGCATGCAAATTTGTTTGCATTTTCAAACTGATTTGTGGAGGCCTTCATTTTAGCAAAGTAATTAAAATATGAAATGTAATAAAATTACCTTTTTTTCATAACAATCGATGCCCTGCCAAGCCGCATACTGATGACGTCACTTGCTTTTTATATTAAAATAAGTTTGATTAAAATAACTTTGATTTAACGTTCTTATGATTTAAAGGGACTTGGCTCAGGTTGCTTTAAAACGATGGGAAAGGAAATATTGTTCAATATTCGGATATGCCTTTTGACGTCGGTCAGGACTAATAACTTGTGTACACATTTTTCTTCGTGCATATTTCCTTCACAATACTCACTAATATCTGCCTCAACACAACTTTTCGGTGATTTAATCCACCTTTTAAATCAGCAATGGGGACACTTATAACATTGCAGAAACAATGCCATTTCTGGAAATGTATATCAGTGACATAAGCCTCATTGTTTATGTTGTATAATATATTGTACTTAACGCTTTGAAGCAAAAAGAAAAACAATGAACTTAAGGTACGAACAATTGTCATAAGCTGTAACATTAACGTGTTTTCTGCTATTTGAGACAAGGCAACAACAACGTATTCAATCAAAACAGATTTAAAGGTCAAGATGTAGATCATAGCTAGTCCATTTTGAAAACAGTACGTCATCATTTTTATAGCGATAAATTGTGTAACAATTTAGGTTTTTTCATGTTTCTGTTTGAAATACTAAATGTCATATTTCTCAATTTTAAATATTTAGACTATATTTACTTGGTAACTCAACGTTATTATTTTCCAATGAACAAGAACATTTAGAAAATGATGAATGCACACATCTTAATTGATTTTTATGTGGCTTTTTGCAGAAATGAGTAAAATAATCTGTTCTACGTAAAAATCTACATATTTTACATAATGACCACAAAAAAATTGTTATTTCTTAGTGGATTGTGATAATTTTTAATGGGAAAGTCGAAAAAGCCAATCAAAGGTAAACGGATAAGTGGCGTTAGCAATGACCGGCGTGCGAAAGTAAAAAAATGGCGGACTTAGTCTACGCGTAAGTGACACTTTGCATTCAGTCAATAATATTCTCTTCGAAGATGTTACCTTAAATGACATTGTATTTCTGGCAGACACTTACAATAGTATATGATACGAAACATGGCATACATTCAGGTAGATTTAAAAGATGATAACCCCACCCTCCAGTACAGATATACTCAATTATCTAATAGGGAAGAACAAGCGAGCCATAGCTATAGATATTAAAGCGATTCAGTACTCTCGACTCTTTACAAAAAAAAGTCACAAATTTTGAGTCTTATCTTAAACACCTGTGATCATAAGTGTATTATAACAATAATTCTATGAAAGAAAATACGACCAAACTGACCGACGGTGTAGAAAGTCTTCAATTGTAGCTTAACCAAACACAATGTGAAATATCAAAACTGCAAACAGACAAGATCAATATTGAAAAATATTTATTATATGTTCAATCCAGTCAATGAGAAACAATTTAGTGTTTTCAAGAATACAGGAGTCCGAGCACGAGAAACCCGAAGATTGAGAGGGAATGGTACGCCAGTTCATGGTAGAAAAGTTAAAGATGACTCAAGATACTGTGGATAGTATTGGTCAGGACGCAGCTTGTAAGACATGAAAGTAAAAGTGTATGTTGCTAATGGGCTTTATTTTATGCCAGTAAATCGATACCGTTTTTCATGGAGAAATTTTGTATGTCTGAAATGGGGAACCAATTCGCCATACATAATAACGGTCAAAAACAAGCTCTTATGGTCCGAGACAAACTCTTGCGATTAACAAAGTCTGATTTAACAAAAAAGTCGCCCCGTACATATAATCAAAGATGTTGTATTTTCGGTCCTTGAATATCGTTAAATACGTCATTATTGCTGTGTGTTCATGTTATGTGGTATTTTAGTTTCTTCTATTTGACCTTTTTTCAACTTGGGTGGTTACGGTATTCCTACTTGAATACTGTATAATCACTCTAAGGATATGTTGCCTGAATTTTTAAATTTGTCTTTTGACGTCAAACCGAGCCTGCAACATTTTCAATTTTGTCGCGTTGGGCTTTCTTTAGGGATTCTTATTTCACTCTATTTTATCGCCACATCAGCGTTGTTTGTGCCGTGTGGAGGCTGTAAAAAGTCGC